TGGAGCATTGGACTTCTTGGACTTAGGATTAGAGACCTTGACCTATGTTGGAGACCTTGTGACCTTAATTGAAAATTTGCCTAGAGTTCTTGAGGTTTACCTCAAGACATTGGAATGCTTGTTTGATTTGTGTGCAGGTTATTGTGATTACATACTTTGTTCGTAATCTGGAATTCACCTGTATACAGCCGTTACTCTGCCCAATTTTTGTGAAGACTTAATACACTTGAAGTTTGATTCTCACAAGAGATCTAGTATCTTTGCTTGCTTGGTTTCAATCCAAAGAATGGGAATTCTATCTTGACTCATAATGTCAAGTATTGGCTTCTTATTTGTTAGATTGTTCCTACCCCTAGCTTTTATCTTATGCTTTAGGATAGTCTCTTCATCTCCTCTCATCTTCTTTAATTTCAAAAATCTTCATTCTCCTTTTGAAAATTCTTCTTGTTTTTTTTTAAACTTGAACCATTTTCGTAATAAACTTGGACTTAGGTCCATGCATTTTCAAAAAAACATTTTCATAAATAAAGTTCAATCAACTTAATAATACCTTGACATTTTTGTGAGAAGACTAAAAGTCAATCAATCTCATCCAAACTATTTTTCCATTTTGGCTCTTATCTTTAAAATTTTCTTTAAAAATTAGACTCTTGTCAATCCTTGTAGTGATGCAAACAACTATACTTCTACAATGTAAGGTGAAGAGAGATATTTTCCATTTGGGTGTTGAGTGAGGCATTGTTGATTTTAAAATCCAAGCCATATCCTCCACTTTGAGATGATGCAAATTCTCCTTTCTCATGATTGTGGGTAGTAAGTATGTTTTCCACACGGACAATGACGGTGATGTCTTATCTCATAAAATCAACCAACACACTTGTGTTTTAAAATTTTCAAAGAGGAACTACGTGTACCCTGATCCCCTATTGCACGAAAGGTGGTACGTAGGCACTAAAGGTTCGCAACTGCGGCAGGTGAAAAAATCATTAAAAAAATTATTTCTTTTCTCACCTTCACCATCTATTTTTATACAACATTTTTTATAGCCAAAATATACATATTTTACAAATAGGTTCCTGCAGAGTACCATAGATGCTTAGGGTGATAATACCTTCCCTTTGCATAACCAACCCCCTTACCTAGAATCTTTCCCCCTCTTTTTAGGTTATTCGCTCTTTTCCCATTCCTTTGGAAACAATAAATCGCAGTGGCAATTTTTATTTTGACCTGTATAAGTCAAGTCAATCCAATGGCTTAGTCTTAGACATTTCTACCGCTACACTATTCACACACATGCACCTCTAAGGTAATCTCGCTTATTGCCTCGGAAAATAGTCATATCCCTCGAATATGGGCTTTTAGCAAAGACCCTCGATAAAAAAGATCATAGTCCCTCGATGTTGTCTTTGGTAAACGATCTAGTCCCTATCGTAAATTACTAAAACGTCTCATAGTTTACCTTCTATGACTATACAATTGACCCACGCCTGTCCATTCACATCTAACGATGGGGCTTCTTACCAAATCAATGGTAAGATAGTAACTTCTAAAGAGGGGGAAAAGAACATAGACTTTTTGAGTAGGTAGGACGCTCGTAGTTGCTTTCTCATCAAACAAAAACCATTTCCACACTTACACTTTCAAAAACATCTTCAAAAACAAACATCTCTTTGAACTATTTTCAAAACTAACAATTTGTACACATTCTTATAGAGACGAGAATCGTTACAAAGTTAGCCGCAACAAAAGGAATTTTGCAAAATATTTTCAAACTTACACCCACCAAAAGCACACTTTCAAACAAAGCAATTTCAAGTGATCTAGCAAGCAACTAAGAGTCCATATATAACTATGAATGAAAAGGGTGCTAATACCTTTCCTTTTCATAATCTACCCCTCGAACTCAAGAAAACATCTCAAAGGTCTTCCCTGTTCTTTTCATCCTTTTCTGTATTGGATAAAAGAAAAGTCGGTGGCAACTCTTGCTATCCGCAACAATTGCGATCAAACGCAAAACATACCAAGTCAGTTCTCTCACCGTATCATATTAGGAAGCACAGATTATTGAAGAAAAAAACTAAATACTAGACACAGGGTCCTACTGGGCGTGCCAATTTGTTTAACCTGGAATTTGGTAAACAACCGTTGATCCTCTAAATCCTTTAACAGATTCAGTTACTTACAAGATCGATCAGATTGATCTCAGGATTATTGTGTTCAAATATTTAGAAAGCATGTTTTGATGATAATCTCTTTAAACAAAAGGAATCACTTCGTATATCGAAGTGAAACTTCTTTATAAAAGTAATGAAATATAAACTAGTCTAGACTGGGAATTGTAAAGAACGTAAATAACGTAAAGAAACTTCATTGAATGTAAATGACATTGAATACAAAATATGGTGCATCATACGTACATTCTCGTTAACTCTTCTCAAACATTGGTACTTTGAGTATTTTGAGTATTTTGTACAAAGATGTGAACACACAAATTGAAACACAAAAGCTATAATTTATAGAACTTCGACCCTAACGGTCTTCTAACAAACTAATGTCACGTTTACGATGGCATGTCTTCGACAATCCAGGAGATCCCACGCGTCCTTCTGGGTAAGAATGAATATTCGAATTCAAACCCTTCGTTATCCGTCTTGAGTGCCAAAATCTAATAACGGTCGAAATATAAAGTCTTAAACCATGTTTCGAATAATAACTTTATTTCACAATTCGAATTATAAACTATCCATCAATCTCTTAATGAATTTCGAATTCGAATCTTTGTGGCTTTTAACAAACAAAATAGTCAAACAATTCTCTAAGTATCTTCAGATCATTGAATCAGCTCAATTTTTCCTTAGTCGAGATTTCCAGCCAACACACACATGCGGCAGTTATCTCCTTCGAGACCTACCAGAGAACCTTATCACCAAGGCACAAAACGATGACACTATGTACTTTCTAGATCATCGTCACATTCTTCTTCTTTGTATCCATATGCTCTGATCCTTTCAACACTTCTAATAAACTTTGTTGAACAAGAAGAGCTTTCATCTTCAAGCGCCACAAACCGAAATCATTCACTCCAGTGAATTTATCAATCTCATACTTCATTGACGGAATCTTGATCCACACTCACTGCACTAGTTTGTTGTGACAATTGTCATTCCTAACGAGAAAAATCAGAGAGAAAGAGAAAGTTTCTTGAACAAACACAAGAAATCATTCAATTCACGATGAGAGAGAAGAGAGAAACAATGTTGGTTATAACCGTTTTTTTATCCACTTTCTTAATTAGAGCTAGAAGATTACAAGTGAATAACAACAACCAACCTTAACCTCTCTCAACAACCTGAGAGAGTAGTCTATTTATAGACTACTAGCTACATGTTATGTATGATGATAACACACATACATACATGACATACATAGCTAACTTAAATAAAAAGCTTACTCAATCAACTATATGTTAGAACAAGCTTCGACTACTGCATATCTTCGACTACTGCATGTTTGAACAGACTTCGATTACAACATGCACAACTCTGTCGAACATGAAGTTACCCTTGTCGATACTAGAGTTTGACCTAAATACTACGGTAGGTAATATTGTATATATAAGAGAGGTGAGTCATATATAATATCTTGAAGTTTTGCATTGAGACATAGTGGTAAAGTATCTTATAGATCTTGGGCGTTTATCACAATGCTACTACGAACGCTTTATGGACATCCCAACAAGTGGTACTAGAGATCTGATTCAACTTAATAGATGAGTGGTAGTGAGATTCTAGAGTAAATCTAGTATAATAATGTAAATGACTCATACTTAAGAGAGAGATATAGTTGAAATTCAAGTTTGAGAGATTAGTCCAATATCAACTAGGAAAGAAGAAAATATTGAAAATATGAGAGAAATGTCTCATATACCTAATGTCATAAAATTTTGATTTGAGATGTGGTATCAATGTCTATTATGAATCTTTAATATTTAGCTCACGACTCCAATTGATGCTTTTCAAAATCCATTTAAGTGGTATATGAATCTATATTTAGCTTAATGGAGATTGTGGGAGTGAGATTCTAACATGAATTAAGTCTAATGATGTAAGTGATTCCCACATGATATTAGTTCACATTAATTAATAATGAAGAAAATGTTAAATACTTAAAAAAATTAAAAATTTCCAATTAAAAAAAAAAAAGACGGTTGAATTCAAGTGTGACTTGTTATGGTGACATCGACTATAAATGGATTGGATATAAATGAATATGAGAGGTGAATCTATTCTCAATACCTTAAGATAGAATTAAAATGTGGGAAACCATATTTGTTGCTCCCAACACTTGTTTTTAAACTATAAGTTCATCTGTTGTAGCAAGTTTATATACTATTTTTGTGAAATAAAACCCAACTAAAATGTTGATTATAAATAAGTAAACATGTTGTATTTGTTTTGGAAGGATAATTCTTGCAAATATTTTTGCTTCAATATTGTCAATGAAATCTTACGAAAATAGACAAAATATTTACAATGAGATCTTACATATAGTGACCGGTAGTATCTTGTTTTACTCAAATTCCAAGTAGAAGAAGGGAACAAGAGGCATAATGACAGCTCTTAGTATTAAAATGCTCTGGTGGATAGTGCATGCAAAGGAATTTTCCATTAAATTACTAACCAAACTTTATGTATTCCACATGTCTAGACAAATCTACACAAAGGAGAAGGAAAAAGTGAACAGTTGTAAGGTTATATGCACCATTGATCATTTTTTTAATATAAAATGCACCACAGAAAAATTTAGAGCAAATATATCATATATCTTCCTCACATTTTACTTTAGAGGAATGCTTTTCCTTTTTTAAATTCAATGTCTTTTGTTTGAAATTCTCTACTTAATTTGCACTATATATATGTATCTCCTCATTTGGGGTAGGGACAAAACACCAATCTATAGAAATCAAATCTGAATCATTACTATACATATATAACAATATAATGGATGAGGCTGCAATGAAGCCAACAATTGACATTATTGTGTGTTCTTCCATGAACAATCATCATGCTAGTGCTAAAAAAAGTGATGATTCAATTTCCAACCCAAGAACCAAGGCATCATCAGATTCAAAGTCAGCACCATTCTTAACTAAGATCCATGCAGGCTACTTTTTCATCTGTCTTTCCTTCGGTGCTCAAGCTTTGCTATGGAAGAGTTTAAGTGAGCATAACAACGAATCACAAACTCTATGGCATGGTTTTAACTTGATGCCTTCTGTTGCTTATCTACTTCTTTGGTGTCTTGCAGTACTCATTGCAACTATCTTATCTTTTCTCTATATGCTCAAGTGCATCTTGCACTTTAATGCAGTGAAGGATGAGTTTTCACATCATATTGGAGTTAACTACATGTATACTCCTTGGATTTCATATCTTCTCATGCTTCAATCGTCTCCACCTTCGATTGTTCCGAGAACTTGTTACTACGAGTTTCTTTGTCTGTCCTTTTCTTTTGTTGTATTTCTTCTTGATGTAAAACTATTCGGACAGTGGTTCACAACTGAAAAGAGGTTTCTGTCAGTGGTAGCAAACCCTGTTAACCTTGTTTCTGTTATAGGCAACTTGGTGGCGGCTCAAGCTGCGACAGAAATCGGTTGGAACGAGTGCGCGCTTTCAATGTTTTCGCTAGGAATGGTACATTATTTGGTTCTATTCGTGACGCTGTATCAGCGCCTAACAAGTAATAATCAGTTTCCAATAGTTCTAAGGCCAGCTTATTTCTTGTATTTTGCTGCACCAAGCATGGCAAGTTTAGCTTGGAAATCCATCTCAGGTTCTTTTCTCATCTCATCAAAGATGCTGTTCTTTCTCTCTTTGTTCCTTTTTCTTTCTCAGGTAGGTTCAATTCATTTCTCTCTCTCTCTTTTTCTTTGTTGGCTATTTTAACTATCGCTTTCGTTGTAACGATCGAGTCATATATAATGCAGGCTTGCAGGCCAGGACTGTTCAAGAAAACTATAAAAAGGTTAAACGTTACATGGTGGATCTACTCATTCCCTTTAACATTCCTTGGTCTAGCTTGTGCTGAATATGCTCATGAGGTGAAAAATAGCATGGCATCTGGTTTAATGCTGCTGATATGTATTGTGTCTGTTCTTGTTTTTGTTTTTCTGATGCTAACTACTGTACTCAAAATTGAGAAGCTGATGCATAAAAAAGCACCCACTAAATGATAATATAATGAACTGGAAGCAGATCCAGCCAAATTTCCTTCTTGTAATGAAAATTAATCAACTTTCCAAATCATCTTCCTAAGACATGTATCATTTGGATAAAGAACGACACCTTCGGAAAAAGGTGTATCAGTGTCCGTGTTTCTGAAACCGACACCAACACTTGCAATTATATTTAATTAATTAATTTTTTAAATTATTATTGGTGTCATGTGTAAGTGAGTACGTGATTCATAGCATCGAACAAACAAAGAGAAGTAAAAGTGCATAAGCACAGGTGTTTGACTCTTTGGACAAAAGATACTTGTCATTTATGTGTCTGTGCGGAAAATCCAACAAGGACAAGACACATATTAATGGTACTTGCAACTAGTCTAATCTAAACTAAAAAAATTCTAAAATAATTTATAGGTACCATAATGAGAATAATGGAATATCAGATAGTGCAGCTGCAGACCACCCTTTGAACATAAGATAGACTTATTGAGAAAAGGGAATGATGCACAATCGTTACTGTCAAAATAAATAAAGCTCCAAGGGAATGGTCAAGATTGGATGTGGAACATTGAAAAGCAACAAGAATAAATTCTCACAAGATAAGTAAGTTACCCCTAAGGACTATTTCAAGGAATTTTGTGGAAATCTTAAGTAGTGAAACACAGGATGGAGAAAATGTCTAGTTATCTATACAATAAGAACAGACATAACTCAGCACTGAATTTTTACATCTATTTGCCAGGACAAAATTGATTCAGATACTCAACCCAAAATTGAAATCCATGTATTAAGAGGTTTATAACGTGGAGTGAAATGAGCAAACTATATCATTGCATTTGCATTGCATATACCTTTATGACATATCTAATATATAGAATAAAATGCTAGAAACACACAATTCCTCAGTAATATATTACTTGTTATTGGAATCTGGAGTATAAACATTTTCTATCAAAGTGCTTATGTCATGACTTCAAAATTCAAATATTTATACTTACCTATTATGTCTTTAGCCAAATTATAAATTAGTGAACTTTAAAGAAAATCTGCAAGATGAGAGATGAAGAAATGCAATGGATAGAGAAATAAAATCCATCAAGAAGAGGAATATGTGGAAACTTGTCTTGAATTCGAAAAAACATAAGGCTACAAATGCGAAGAAAGTGTGCATGCCAAAGAAGAATGTCGAGAAAAAAAATCAAAAAATTACAATGGGTAACTATGATTTGGGCAAAGTCACAATGGTGATACCAAACATACATGCAATAAGGGCCAAAGAATCAAACTAACAAACACATGGGGGACATCAAAACTACAAGCATTATGTCAATAACGGATTTCGACACCAACAGTAAACAAAATCATAAAATGAGAACTCAAAAATTGAACTAAGCCGAGGTTCGAAACATTTAAATAAAGTCTTTAAATTCAGTCTATGTAATTATAATATTTTTAATATTAAATATATTTTAATAAAGAATATTCATTTATTATTTTTATAAGCCTCAATGTACTCTCTAAACTCGATACATTGCCCCTAAGCCTCAATGTATTCTTCTATCTCGGTATACTGCCTCTAAGCCTCAGTGTATTCACAAAACTCGGTACATTGCCTCTAAGCCTCAATGTACTCTTCAAACTCGATACATTACCCCTAAGCCTCGATGTATTTTTCTATCTCGGTACACTGCCTCTAAGCCTCAGTGTATTCACAAAACTCGGTATATTGCCCCTAAGCCTCAATGTACTCTCCAAACTCGATACATTGCCCCTAAACCTCAATGTATTCTTCTATCTCGGTACACTGCCTCTAAGCCTCAATGTATTCACAAAATTCGGTACATTGCCTTTAAGCCTCAATGTACTCTCCAAACTCGATACATTGCCTCTAAGCCTCAATGTATTCTCAAAACTCGGTACATTGCCTCTAAGCCTCAATGTACTCTCCTCATCTAACTCACTACATAAGACATCGTGCAGCAGTGCGGTTCCTCGCGACGTAATATAGACCATTACCTAAGACCCTAGGCAGTAATGAGCAAAACTTAGTTCATTGCCTAAGACTCCAGGCAACAGTGCAACATAACTCATTGTCTAAGACTCCATGCAACAATGTATTTCTCTATCTTCACCCATTACTTAAGACTCCATTCAGTAATGTGCTACACTCCTCAATATAGAGCATTACCTAAGACTCCATGCCGCGGTGTTCCGAATCTAAACCTAACTTATCGCCTCAAACGTCATGCAGTGATTCGCAAACATAACCCATGGCCTCAGTCTTCGAGAAGCCATGCACCATCAAGTGTTGTTCATCCCCCTGTTTATCGTGGTTTTTGGTAAATAATCGTTGATCCTCCAAAAAGGAAAGTCCTTTTGGTTACTCGCGGAATCGATCAGATTGATCCCAAAACATATGCTAATTCTTATGCTGGTTTGATGTGAAAGTTAATATCTAGGAAGAACGCACGTTCGACCAAGGATATTGTGTTTATGGTTTTGGAAAGTAAGAAAGTAACTAGAAGCGCAGGTAAAGATGTAGAAATGTAAACTTTGCAAAAGAAGATCAAAGTAATGTAAAAAGACTTTATTAATAAAAAATGGTGTTTCCAACGTACATTCTCAGTTATTCTTTCACACACAGCGGGTACTTGAATAATATTGAGTAACTAGCACAATAGGTTGAACACACGAAAACTCTACACAAACTTCCTAGTTGTATACTAAAATTATGTAACTGTCGAGGGTGGCTTTGCTTCTAGGATGAAGACAAGTGTCTTCTGCATGTCCCTAGACCTCTATCTTCCTGCCACACCGCTTTCTTTTAACTGCTGGCGAACTGCATTTCCCTCCAATCTTCAAATTCAAATATCTTTCGCCTTTGGTGCTGACACGAAGGTTTATTCTTCTAGTCGAAGGCCACAGGACCTTTCCTGTCGAAGGCTTGATGGTGATGTCTGGTCGAAGACCAATTTGTAACTCAGATATTTTCTCTAAGTTTTTTCCATCCGTCGAAGCATTTTCTAACTTGGCTTTATCTGCTCTACTTTTGGTCCATGGGGCCAATATATAGTAGGTGTCGATTTCAAGAGCCAACAAATTTCCCCCAAGAATGCCTATTTCGATGTCGAGAGAAATAGTCATTCTTTGACATTCCTATTCGACACCTGCCCTTTTTGTCCAAAAAGGTTTTAACGTGCATTTTTCGTCTTCCAACAGTTGCCACACTCAGAACCATCATTACTCTTTTCCCAAGACGTCTTTTCAATAAGCCGTTACCATGTTGTCATTATGACCATTACTCCTAGAACCTAGGCAAGCATGTCAAACGTTTCCCACCACCTGCACAATAACTGCTTTGCAGCTTGCCACGTGCCCCACTACGTCCATAGCATTAAATGGCTTTGACGAGACACACTTCCCTCTGAACACTATAAATAGCCTTGAGCCTTCTCTTTTTGAACTTTCACAACACAACATTTTTAATCTTCTTTGCAGAAAACACCTTACACCGTCATCTTCGTTCCTTACTATCTCATAACAATGGCTTTCCTTTCTAACGCTCACAACAACCCCAAACCTAAGAATGTGGCTGACGTACAGCGTCAACCAGAGATCTTCCCCATAAACTCTTCTCCTGCTTCGACTGAGGGGCCAAGGTTCTTCTTTGAACCCATGACTAAAGAATGGCGTGAGGCGTATAATTACCAGCTCCTCATCCCTGTTAGATATCATGAGAATATATATGCCATGTCTGGCCCTCTATCTGCATGCGTCGAGGATCCCATGAAAAATCATTCTTTCTTCCCTACTCACCCTAGGCTCAAACCCATAGGTTATGCGAAGAAGCCTAGGAACGATCCTGAGGATGCGACTCCAGCTAACCAGCAACACGCTCAGACAAAGGAGGACATTAACCTTCAATTTATGAACAAAGGGAACAAAATATTTCGATCATGCCCTAGTCTCTCTTCAGAATATTCAGACTGGTTAAATAAGATGGAGAAGGCGTAAACCCCAGTTTGGAAGGAAATGGGGATTTATGATTTAGTGATGTTGTCGAAGACAGGGTTGTCTTACTGCCCTCTTATGTTAGTGTCTTCATTATATTTCAGGGACAACTCCCATTTCACATTTCACCTTCCTTGTGGAATGGTGACTCAAACTCTCTTCGACATAGCAGCAATCACCGGCCTTCGACCAACTGGTGACTACTTCGACCCAGAGGATTTATCTGAAGATACCATCGGGTTTTCAGCTACAAAGCCCACATACACCACATTCATCAACCATTTTCATGATAAATCCTGCAGTACTGTGTCATAGGTCGAACATATAGCTTTCTTTTCTATGTGGATGTCTCGATTCGTCTTCTGTACCAAGTCACTTCAAGTGACTAAGAAGATGCTCACGCTTGCAACACAACTTCATCACGGCTACCCTATCTGCTTGGCTGAATTGATTATGGCCAATCTGTATGAGTCCATCAGCAATGGTGTGACTCAACTCAAAGTCATAGGAGACAGGGCAAGCTTGCTCCTTTCTGGCCCCTTTTGGCTTCTTCAACTTTGGCTCAACGCCATCTTCGAATCTTTTCTTCCTGAAAAGAATATGATAAACGAAGAAGCCCCAGAAATTTTAAACAGGAGGGTCGAAGGCACCAGGCTAGCTTTGCTGACTCCGACTGACGAGGGTCAGCAATTTCAAAAGGCCTTCACCGGCTTTATGATGATGTTTGCAGAGTGCAAAAATTTTGTTTCGACCATGGCTCCCTTCGCCAGTCGAAAGGTTGGCCCAGAATGGTTTACCAGACCATTTCCTTCAGCTGATGAGGAGGACTTAGAGGACGAATATGTGGCCATTTGGGAGTCGTTTCTTCGACCAAGAATCATGCCACTGAGATTCAAGAGTTCGAAGAATCAATTAAGTTTGATTGCTTACCAACCGAATCTTGTCTCTCGACAATTTGGTATTGTCCAGTCACTCCCATCTCCCATCTACTC